TTTTGAAAGAAGATTCCATAATATACCCAAAAATGGGGGGTGTTGCAGTTTTTTGTGTATATGTGTGTACTAGTGAGCTAGCATAAATGACTTGACTCATTTTATAGTCCACCAATAGAAGGTTAACCAATCAGAAGACGTAGAATATTCCATCCGTCGTGTACACAAAGGCGGCCATTTTGTTCACTTTATCCGATGTCCAATGCCAGCATGTCAGGCGAAGAGGAACAAAAGGGAGAACAACTGAACTACGCTCTGCTACTTTACCGAGATATCCACTGCTAACCTGAACTACGCTTCCCTACTGTCTTCGAAATATTCACTGCTAACCTCTGGATTCTATACCCAAAGACGACCGTCATCATGAACAACATTAGTCCCATTACTGAAGGCTTTTTCCTGTCATCATTGCTCAGTTGGTAAGACCTAGTGGGGCTGGGAATAAACGATTTTAACCTGTTCTCTTTCTAGCTGTTTTCTGTGATTTTTCAATGATTCTTACATCAAATGGTGTCAATGTGGTTAAACGTCTTATCTGAAAACCTGGGAAAAAGAAACAATTACTTTAGTGGTTTTTTAATGGACAATGTTACTGTTACATCAGGTATAATCTCTCCGAAACAGATATGATCAAGTTAGTATACGATCTCTTGGAGGACACTGCTTCAAAGTGGCTGGAAGAGTTTTGGAGATAAATAAAAGACCGACTTGGCGGGAGATTGAAGAAAAGATCGATAAAGAAAAAAAAAAACGCAATTCACATGAAAAATAAAAAGCGGATCTGCGCAGTGGAGATGATCTCCGAGGAAGAGATTATGACTTGTAAAGGGAAACTAAAGAAAACGAATATACCAGCGTTTATTGATACAGGATCGATCATATCAATATTAAATTCGAAAAGAATAAAACGATTAGGTATAGAGAATGAAAGATTAAAACCCGGGGATTTAGGGGTGAGCCAGGTAGACGGTTGTGAAATGAAGTTAGAAAGAATGATGTTTCCTTTGAGAGTCACTAGATATCAAACGGAAACGATTAGATAGATATCACCTACTTTGAAGAAAGAATTTATTCTGAGTGGGGAAAGTAAACTGTAATGATGTTCGATTCACCTACTAAATTCAAGTCAGGTAATAAGAAATACTGTTGGGAAATGAGCCGGTTGGTAGATTAATTCGTTTTTTATGGCTTATCAGCCCTTTTCAGGCCATCTAAAGCCACAGTGTGCCCAGTAAGAAAGCGGCAAATTTATACTCCGAGAAAATACACCAGCTCTTATTGGTTCATCTCAGTGACCCTCTAAAAGACCATATCTGATGTAGTGGTAGCACCTGTTAGGGGTTCAAACTATGGGCAAACTGGGGTCAAAACACTGAGTCAGTTATGTGCTATGTGTAATACACGCTTAGGCGATCTTGCATCTTTCGATACATGGCTAACGAGGCATATTTTTTTCCCGCAGTAGGTTGCTGTTTCTTTCTGGTAGATCAATTGTCATCCAAGGCTATAGAACCCGGTCTGTTCTGCTACTTACCAAGCTGGGGGAGAGGAAGAGGATTTGTACATTTCCCAAGGGTATTAACACGTAAGTGAATGTAATGAATTCGATTGGAATTCGAACTCGGTTCTCCGATTCCTCAATCCGAGCCGTTATTCGTTAACCGACCATTATGAAAGTATAAAAATAGATTTTAACAAATTACAAGGCCAGCAGCATTTTTAACTCTCGACAAAAATCCTCTTTACGAAAATAGATACATTTCTTACAAATAATATATATTCGGTTCATACGAACTTATCCTAACCATCTTGTCGGCATTAAATAACCCATTGAGATTGATATGCCGTAAAACAAAATAAACGAAGCCAAAGATCTGAATGTATCTGTATCGGGATTATACTCCTAACTCACAAGCAAAACCGTCGTGGTGACATCGTCGATATTGATTCATTGAAGCAGAACTTAACTGAAGCTTGGAATTAAATTCCTCTAGACATTATCCACAAAGCTACTGCCTCCTCCTGGTTACCCCGCTTATAACTTTGGGTTTAATATTCATGCAAACATTTCGAAAATCTACGATGATTGTTCAGTTTCTGAATTTATTGCTTTTTTTCTTTTACAGGGTACCCTGTAGTACTGTATTATCGAAAGTCTTATTTACTTTTATTTTTACATTTTTTCCTAGAAAAATTCCCTTCACTAAAAGCCATCTATAAAATCCAATCAAAAGTTAGCATTAATAGTTTACAGAATTCTTATATTTCATGACTGGATCTATTCAACAAAGACTTTAAATTAAACTCTGATTGATGACACTTCAACTTCTGACTGGCCTTAGCAAATAAAACAAGTCAGTTACTGAATCTGATAACCAGATTTTGACAGCTAAAGACTGGCAACTACAGAGTGCCCAGTAAAAATGCGGATATTTTATTATCACTGTTTTATCTTTCAGGAATAATTAACTTTGAATAAATTTGAATAAATTTCTTAAATATTCATGACCTCGAATAAAGCTACTGCTTTGTTATTCTTACAACTTTGTGTTGAACATTCAGGCAAACATTTCGAACATCTACGATGACTGTCCAGTTTGTGCATGAATCATGATAGCTAAATAAACTTATTTCTGGATTTACCACTTTTTTACTCGTAGATTGCAAGAACGTTTGGAGGTAACAATGGTTTAATGATATAACTCTTACTAATTAACCCATAGCGGGGGAAGGTGTGGATTCATCCGTTTCCCAAAGGTTTCTGCGTGTAACGAATCCAACGGGAATTCAAACTCGGCTTTCCGAGCCATTATCCACACATCAAAACTTACAGCACCTGGTATTCTGAAACGCTCACTCATCTAGGTATTGACTAGGCTCGACGGTCATTTCGTTGATCGTACGGGAATCTGTGTTTCAACGTGATATGGACGTAAGCCAGAAACGAGACGGGAGAACGGATGGAAGTGATTACGGTATATAATATATAGATACCTACCCGTATAGCAGTTACGTAGGCAGGTACATTAGAATTATCTAATGAGAAGAGGGGATATCATGTTGCGAAGATCTCGGGCAAAACGTGACTGATAGAGAATTAGCGTCACCGGGGATGGACTTTTGAGATCGTGAGAAATGGGGAAATGGCAGAAGGACAGCAAAAAAGGGACACTAGTCTGATTAACGAAAAATATAAAAGCTTTCATGCAGATATTTCTAAAGGCCAGTTACTCCAATTAGATTATCCTAGATGTTATAGAGAATTATGATAATTATTGCATGCTGGATTTATGGACACTTCGCAAAGGTTCTACAGGAGGATGCTGAATGACAGGAACGCAATCTGTGAGCAACGAGGTAGTTATAAAAACAATGGGAACGTTAAGGAAACTTATACTTACAGTCAAAGGAGACTATTGAAAATTCTGGCACTGATAATGAGGAAGAAGGGCTTGGCGAATTTAAGACTCGCAAGAGCTGGTTAGGAAGCAGACAGTACAAAGGAAGACAGATACTGGAGAACACACACCAATAAAGCTCAGATCATATCGAACTCCGTTAAATAAAAGAGAAATAGCGGGGAAAGCTTTTCGAGAAATGTTAGATGCTGGAATTGCGGATAGTTTGCAATGGTCCTACAGGAGGATGATGAGAATGACGAGAATGACAGGAACGGGACATATGAGCAACGAGAAAATTTTAAGCAAAATAGGAACGCTTAGGACACTTCCACTTATAATCAGAAAGAGACTGTTGAAAATTCTGGAGCGCATAATTACGAAGACGGGCTTGAAGAATTTAACACTCGGACGACATATTGAAGGTTAGAGTTGAAGATAGAAAACAGCGGAGAAAAAATAAAGGGTTTTTATGAATGGATGGCACGGAAAAGAATAGTAAGGGGACTGATGAGGAGACAAATGTTGCTAAGAGTGACCAAGAATAGAATATTGTGGGTGGGACATGATCTTGAACGTCCTGAAGGAACGTAGTACGTACAAGAAGATATGCGTTTCAAGGCAGGTCGAGTGTCATTTCAAGATAATGAGCGTTAATGCCGAACAGTGACCACGAAAACGTCCAAACATATAGATATACTAAAATTATCAGTATTTGATTTTATTTGTTCACGAACAAGTCAATCTACACCAATAATGAAGATTTTCAAAAGATTTTTCCCATAACAGTCGATTGATTTATTTTTACAGTTTATCAACATTGTAATGTTCCAGTTGTAAGAATTCTAGGAATACGTCTTTGTTTGCGAGTGAATATCGCATTAACAATTTTCTTAAAATAACAAGGATATGTCCAGATACGTGCGATACTATTTAACCCATACTTGGGGAGACAACTGAATTCATACCTTCCGAAGAGAATTTGCGCGTAAGTGAGTGTAACGAATCCAACTGGAATTAGAACTCAACACTTTATTTCTTTTTCTGAACCGCTATCAATACACCACCCGCACAGCCACTTGTCAATAATAAGCAATAAATAATCAGTATGTATGATGGCTAATGGATTGTTTAGGCATTGCTGAATTTCAATTTTAGTTTGACGGTTCTCTTGATCTCTTTAAATCATTGCGCCCCCAATAAGGCAATGAAGGCACTAAGACGCTATGGTTTAATCAGTGTGAGAGAATATGCGAAAAAAAATATGGTGAGAGAACAATAAAAGAATGGGAATTATGAAGACAGAAGATAACAACTGACATTGCATTTAAATATTTTAAGATCGAAGTTGACTGAGAAGCAAGAAGCCGGAAGAGAGTTCCACGAGAGAGAACTTAGACGACACTCACGTTCTATTAACTGAAACAGAAGATTAATTTATACGTTTCTAATATAAGACGAATATTACCTGCAAAGTGGCGGGAAGAGGTTAGAATTGCTACATTGTGACATTTATACGTTATAGCGTTTGTTTCTCTATGATCTATCTTATATATAAGTATACCATTCGTCCATGACTTAGAATATTGTTGCCAATTATAG